CATAGTTACACCGTAACTTCCGTTCTGTCAGCTAAATACAGGAGGAGCTGATGGGACCAAACCAATAGCTCCCTGAAGAGGGGACTGAAGAATTTCCTTTAATTTATTATTTTGTCATTTGTTAATTAATTTAAGTTTGAAGTTAAATAGTTAGGTTTATGGGTTAGGATGTTTAGGTTTATTAACAATCTGACTGTACTGATTTGTGGTTTTAGTTTTAGTTAGTAAATGTTTGTCTAGTAATCCCTATTGTTCATATGGTCTGATCAGCCAATGTGTATATATACCCTTGTGTGTCTTTGTTTGGAAGGTCGGTTATTGTTTCAGTCAGTCAGTATGTTAAGTTAGAAGTTTATTGAGTTTCAGTTTGTTTGTTTGACCTCTTTTATGAGCTCGAGTTGTTTTTGGGAGGGCATTTTAAAACAAAAAGGAAATTAAAGAGTCTATTTTTGGAAATTGCCTGTGTTCCTCCACTCATTCAGCTTGAGCCCTCACATTTGGTGTCAGAAGTGGGATCTGGAGGACACAGCATAGTTTTTGCCATGCAGGCTGGAGTACGGACGAGGAAAGGCAACAAAGGGGAAATCAAGGAGACGATGCAACAGTCTGATGTAGGGGAGATCGAGGATGGAGCTGCAATCAACCTGGGGGACACTGAGGATGAGGAAATTAGGGAACCAACATTGAAGGATTTGACAAGTATTCTTCAAACCTTTATGGGACAACAAGATATGAGAGATAAGAAGAGGGAGGAGGAGTCTGGACAACAGGAGCAGCGTTTTAAGGCTTTGCAGCACCAATTTCATCTTTTGCAGATGGGAATGCAGGCCCGAGCAACACCTGAGCTGGGGAGAGATGATTCAGAACAGGTGGTAATTTCCAGCAATGATTACATCCAGGTATCTTCTGAACCTGAATGCTCAACTTCGACTTCAGCCACATCCTCCACAGGTCAGTCTTTGCACACACCCCATTTCAAAATGGAAAAATTGACTGCAGAAGATGACATTGAACATTTCCTCACAACCTTTGAGAGAATTGCAGTTGCCTACCGTTGGCGAAGCTCAGACTGGACTTTTCATCTGATTCCCCTGTTGACTGGTAAGGCTCGAGGGGCCTATGTTAATATGGACATTGATGATGCACTGGATTACCAAAAGGTAAAGACTGCCATTCTTCAAAAATATGATATAAATCCAGAAACATATAGACTAAGGTTCCGTTGTCTTGATGTCATGGATGAAAGCCCTAAAGAACTGTATGCAAGACTAAAGGAGCTGTATGAAAAATGGACTCAGCCTAAAGCTAAAACAGTGAAGGAGATTGGTGAGCTCTTAATCTTGGAGCAATTTTTAAGAATGTTGTGTCCTGAGCTTCAGGTCTGGATCAAAGAGCATAACCCAAGATCTGCGGCGGAAGCTGCTGCCCTGGCAGATGTGTTTGTGGCAGCCCGAAGCAAGAGTCAGCCATGGAGTAACACAGCATGGAGAACAGCTCAAGACATGCGGCGTCCACAACCTCTTCAACACCAGAGGGCAGCATCGGGTGTGGGTAAGGTCCCCACAAGGGAAAATCGACCTCAAAGTTCAATAAAAGGATACCTGTATGCTATCTGTGTGGACAGGAAGGCCACACCAAGCCTGTGTGCCCCCAAAACCCAAGTCGATTAAACCAATTGTGTTTTTTGCCACAGCAGATGGTGAAAAGAGAACATGAAAAACATAATTCCAAGAAAATGACCACTGTGACAATAAATGGGCAGAAAATAGAAGCTTTATTGGATACAGGAAGCACTCAGACTCTGGTTCATAGGAACTGCATACCATTCAGTGACTGGGGCATGTCTGAACCGATAACAGTTTGTTGTGTGCATGGGGATGAGAAATCTTACCCCACAGCTGATTTGTGTATTGGGGTACAAGGGGCTACATATTTGCTAAAGGTTGGTGTGGCAGACAATCTCCCTTACCCTGTGATTTTGGGGGAGGATCTGCCTGTCATCTATGATCTGTTGAAGGAAGTGGAAAGCTGTAATGCAGCTGTGACAAGGGCTCAAGCAAAAACTCAAAGTGACCAATTTACAACTCTCAGTACTTTGCCTTTCTTTGACTCTGACGTGGAAGGACAACCTGGGAAGACTCGTAAAGCACGTAGTCAGAAAAGGCATGAGAAGTTGGAATATAATGTGCAAATAGGTAAAAATAAAGAAGCTCCAGATCTGCCCTTGGGGTTTACGATTCCTAATGATATAAGACAAATGCAACAAGATGATTTGACCCTGTCTGCTCTTTTGCTGAAGGCTAAAGGTGAAACTGAGGCAGAATACGACACTAAGAGAGGCCGATACATCCTTCAACATGGCATTTTGTACCATCACCATGGCCAGCTGAAACGACTGGTGGTCCCTAAAGCAGCCCGGGAGACTGTGCTAAGGTTGGGCCACTCAATTCCCTGGGCTGGCCACCTGGGGAAACATAAGACCACTCAACGTATCAAACGCAATTTTCTGTGGCCTGGTTTATGTTCAGATGTTGCCCGGTTTTGTAGAAGCTGCCCTCAGTGTCAAATCACTTCAGCTAAAGTTCCCATTAGAGCACCACTGCAGCCGCTCCCAATAATTGGTACACCGTTTGAACGCCTTGGAATGGATGTTGTTGGTCCTGTGGAAAAGAGCAAAGCAGGAAACCGTTATATGCTGGTCATCACTGACTATGCTACAAGATATCCAGAAGTTTTTCCATTAAAAAACATCAAAGCAAAGGCTGTGGCTTTCTCATTGATTCAACTATTCTCAAGAGTTGGGTTTCCACAAGAAATTCTTACTGACCAAGGGACTAATTTTATGTCAACCTTGTTGCAGCAGGTTTATAGGTTGCTGGGCATCAGGAGCATGCGGACAACTCCATATCATCCACAGACGGATGGACTGACTGAGCGCTTCAACCAAACTTTGAAACAGATGCTTCGTAAGTTTGTCAACAGTACTGGGTCTGATTGGGACCAGTGGCTCCCGTATCTTCTCTTTGCCTACAGAGAGGTCCCTCAGGCTTCTACTGGTTTCTCCCCGTTTGAGCTCCTCTATGGGCATGAGGTGAGGGGTCCTTTGACCCTGCTGAGAGAGACGTGGGAAGGAGACCAGGGTAAGGCAGAGCCAATTAACATAATTTCCTATGTAATCCAAATGAGGGATAAGTTGCAAGACATGAGTGAACTGGCTCAATCGCACATGGCATCTGCCCAACAGCACCAGAAATCGTGGATTGATAAAGGAGCTCGACAACGTAGTTTTCTTCCAGGCCAAAAGGTTCTGTTGATGTTACCAACTTGTGACAGCAAGCTGCTGGCAAAGTGGCAGGGACCATTTGAGGTTCTGAAACGATTGGGGCCTACCACTTACAAGATCTCTACTCCAGGTCTGCAGCGGGGAAGTAGAGTTCTTCACGTAAACTTGTTGAAGGAGTGGGTTCCACAGGCAGTTGGCAATACGGAAACGCTGCTGATCCGACAGGTGGTGGAAGAGGAGGATGTGGCTGAATATCTGCCTTCAACTGCATCTTCAGCCCTGGACTTGGGTCACCTCACTAAAGAGCAGCAGTCCCAGGTAAAGCCTCTGCTTAACCCAGAAATATTCAATGAGTGCCCAGGTCGAACGGCGCTGGTTAAACACAACATTGTATTAAGATCTGATGCAAATGTGAGGCGCATGAGTTACAGAATACCAGAGCGGTACCTGATTGACCTAAAGAAGGAGGTGGACTCAATGCTGGCTCTTGGGATCATTCAACGTTCAACAAGAGAGTGGTGTAACCCTGTAGTCCTAGTTCCTAAAAAGGATGGAACGATTCGCTTCTGTATCGACTTCAGGTATCTAAATTCTGTTTCAAGATTTGATTCGTACCCAATGCCACGGATTGATGAGCTCACTGACAGTCTGGGGAAAGCCATATGGCTGACCACCATTGATCTCTCAAAGGGGTACTGGCAGGTTCCCCTCACCAGCCAGTCTCGGGAGCTAACAGCTTTCCGCACCCCTTGGGGCTTGTTCGAGTTCACTGTTTTACCATTTGGCCTCCATGGGGTCCCGGCTACATTCCAGAGGCTAATGGACCAGGTTCTATGTGACCTGAGAGGGTTTGCATGTGCATATTTGGATGACATTGTCATTTTCAGTGACACATGGGAGGAGCATATGGCACATCTTGAGGAAGTTCTGAAGCGTTTACAGGCTGCTGGTCTGACAATCAACCCCGCGAAGTGTGCTGTGGCCAGGAGGGAGATTCAATACCTTGGGTTCACCATTGGAGGTGGGATTATTAAGCCCCAGGTTGATAAAGTTCATGCAATCGAAACATGTCCTGTTCCACAGACTAGGAAGCAGTTGCGGTCGTTCCTTGGGATGGCCTCATTTAACACGATTCGTCCCCAACTTTTCTGCAAGGGCAGCGCCATTGACCGATAGGACGGGCTCATGTAGCCCCAACAAAATCCGGTGGACTGCGGAGGCCCTGGCAGCTTTTCAAGACATTAAGCATTCCTTGAGTGTGGAACCAGTCTTGTACTCTCCAGACTTTCAAAGAGACTTCATTCTGCGGACTGATGCTTCTGAGAGGGGTTTGGGGGTGGTCCTTCTACAAGGGACATCAGAGGAGCTGCATTCCGTGGCTTACATCAGTCGCAAGCTGTTGGCCCGAGAGAGATGCTATGCAACAGTGGAAAAAGAGGCATTGGCCATAAAGTGGTCTCTGGATTCCTTTAAGTACTATCTGCTGGGGAGAGAATTCACTCTGCAAACGGATCATAAGGCTCTCGAATGGCTTAACAGGATGAAGGATACTAATGGGCGCATAACCCGATGGTATCTTGCCATGCAACCATTCAGATTCAAGGTTCAACATATCCCTGGCAGAGACAATACCACAGCCGACTACCTCTCACGCTGTGAGGACAACTGAGTGGGGGGGGCATGTGATGGCCACATCCATGTCCACACAACGGTGAACGTTAAGTACACTCTTGCACTTTTATGATTGCAGTTTGTTTGTTTATATTTCTTTGGCTTTATTGTTTAGATGGCTTAAATGCATTAGTTCTAATTGTAAGCGCGCACATTTAGTTAACTGCTGTATTTTATGCCTTTCATTTGTTCAATTTAAGTTGATTTGTTTTCTCTTACCGGTGCTGGGGTTCTCCACTTTCTGCTTCCTGAGATGGGACAGGCAAACAGGGTTGAAGGGGTTCTGTCAGCTAAATACAGGAGGAGCTGATGGGACCAAACCAATAGCTCCCTGAAGAGGGGACTGAAGAATTTCCTTTAATTTATTATTTTGTCATTTGTTAATTAATTTAAGTTTGAAGTTAAATAGTTAGGTTTATGGGTTAGGATGTTTAGGTTTATTAACAATCTGACTGTACTGATTTGTGGTTTTAGTTTTAGTTAGTAAATGTTTGTCTAGTAATCCCTATTGTTCATATGGTCTGATCAGCCAATGTGTATATATACCCTTGTGTGTCTTTGTTTGGAAGGTCGGTTATTGTTTCAGTCAGTCAGTATGTTAAGTTAGAAGTTTATTGAGTTTCATTTTGTTTGTTTGACCTCTTTTATGAGCTCGAGTTGTTTTTGGGAGGGCATTTTAAAACAAAAAGGAAATTAAAGAGTCTATTTTTGGAAATTGCCTGTGTTCCTCCACTCATTCAGCTTGATCCCTCACATTTGGTGTCAGAAGTGGGATCTGGAGGACACAGCATAGTTTTTGCCATGCAGGCTGGAGTACGGACGAGGAAAGGCAACAAAGGGGAAATCAAGGAGACGATGCAACAGTCTGATGTTGGGGAGATCGAGGATGGAGCTGCAATCAACCTGGGGGACACTGAGGATGAGGAAATTAGGGAACCAACATTGAAGGATTTGACAAGTATTCTTCAAACCTTAATGGGACAACAAGATATGAGAGATAAGAAGAGGGAGGAGGAGTCTGGACAACAGGAGCAGCGTTTTAAGGCTTTGCAGCACCAATTTCATCTTTAGCAGATGGGAATGCAGGCCCGAGCAACACCTGAGCTGGGGAGAGATGATTCAGAACAGGTGGTAATTTCCAGCAATGATTACATCCAGGTATCTTCTGAACCTGAATGCTCAACTTCGACTTCAGCCACATCCTCCACAGGTCAGTCTTTGCACACACCCCATTTCAAAATGGAAAAATTGACTGCAGAAGATGACATTGAACATTTCCTCACAACCTTTGAGAGAATTGCAGTTGCCTACCGTTGGCGAAGCTCAGACTGGACTTTTCATCTGATTCCCCTGTTGACTGGTAAGGCTCGAGGGGCCTATGTTAATATGGACATTGATGATGCACTGGATTACCAAAAGGTAAAGACTGCCATTCTTCAAAAATATGATATAAATCCAGAAACATATAGACTAAGGTTCCGTTGTCTTGATGTCATGGATGAAAGCCCTAAAGAACTGTATGCAAGACTAAAGGAGCTGTATGAAAAATGGACTCAGCCTAAAGCTAAAACAGTGAAGGAGATTGGTGAGCTCTTAATCTTGGAGCAATTTTTAAGAATGTTGTGTCCTGAGCTTCAGGTCTGGATCAAAGAGCATAACCCAAGATCTGCGGCGGAAGCTGCTGCCCTGGCAGATGTGTTTGTGGCAGCCCGAAGCAAGAGTCAGCCATGGAGTAACACAGCATGGAGAACAGCTCAAGACATGCGGCGTCCACAACCTCTTCAACACCAGAGGGCAGCATCGGGTGTGGGTAAGGTCCCCACAAGGGAAAATCGACCTCAAAGTTCAATAAAAGGATACCTGTATGCTATCTGTGTGGACAGGAAGGCCACACCAAGCCTGTGTGCCCCCAAAACCCAAGTCGATTAAACCAATTGTGTTTTTTGCCACAGCAGATGGTGAAAAGAGAACATGAAAAACATAATTCCAAGAAAATGACCACTGTGACAATAAATGGGCAGAAAATAGAAGCTTTATTGGATACAGGAAGCACTCAGACTCTGGTTCATAGGAACTGCATACCATTCAGTGACTGGGGCATGTCTGAACCGATAACAGTTTGTTGTGTGCATGGGGATGAGAAATCTTACCCCACAGCTGATTTGTGTATTGGGGTACAAGGGGCTACATATTTGCTAAAGGTTGGTGTGGCAGACAATCTCCCTTACCCTGTGATTTTGGGGGAGGATCTGCCTGTCATCTATGATCTGTTGAAGGAAGTGGAAAGCTGTAATGCAGCTGTGACAAGGGCTCAAGCAAAAACTCAAAGTGACCAATTTACAACTCTCAGTACTTTGCCTTTCTTTGACTCTGACGTGGAAGGACAACCTGGGAAGACTCGTAAAGCACGTAGTCAGAAAAGGCATGAGAAGTTGGAATATAATGTGCTAATAGGTCAAAATGAAGAAGCTCCAGATCTGCCCTTGGGGTTTACGATTCCTAATGATATAAGACAAATGCAACAAGATGATTTGACCCTGTCTGCTCTTTTGCTGAAGGCTAAAGGTGAAACTGAGGCAGAATACGACACTAAGAGAGGCCGATACATCCTTCAACATGGCATTTTGTACCATCACCATGGCCAGCTGAAACGACTGGTGGTCCCTAAAGCAGCCCGGGAGACTGTGCTAAGGTTGGACCACTCAATTCCCTGGGCTGGCCACCTGGGGAAACATAAGACCACTCAACGTATCAAACGCAATTTTCTGTGGCCTGGTTTATGTTCAGATGTTGCCCGGTTTTGTAGAAGCTGCCCTCAGTGTCAAATCACTTCAGCTAAAGTTCCCATTAGAGCACCACTGCAGCCGCTCCCAATAATTGGTACACCGTTTGAACGCCTTGGAATGGATGTTGTTGGTCCTGTGGAAAAGAGCAAAGCAGGAAACCGTTATATGCTGGTCATCACTGACTATGCTACAAGATATCCAGAAGTTTTTCCATTAAAAAACATCAAAGCAAAGGCTGTGGCTTTCTCATTGATTCAACTATTCTCAAGAGTTGGGTTTCCACAAGAAATTCTTACTGACCAAGGGACTAATTTTATGTCAACCTTGTTGCAGCAGGTTTATAGGTTGCTGGGCATCAGGAGCATGCGGACAACTCCATATCATCCACAGACGGATGGACTGACTGAGCGCTTCAACCAAACTTTGAAACAGATGCTTCGTAAGTTTGTCAACAGTACTGGGTCTGATTGGGACCAGTGGCTCCCGTATCTTCTCTTTGCCTACAGAGAGGTCCCTCAGGCTTCTACTGGTTTCTCCCCGTTTGAGCTCCTCTATGGGCATGAGGTGAGGGGTCCTTTGACCCTGCTGAGAGAGACGTGGGAAGGAGACCAGGGTAAGGCAGAGCCAATTAACATAATTTCCTATGTAATCCAAATGAGGGATAAGTTGCAAGACATGAGTGAACTGGCTCAATCGCACATGGCATCTGCCCAACAGCACCAGAAATCGTGGATTGATAAAGGAGCTCGACAACGTAGTTTTCTTCCAGGCCAAAAGGTTCTGTTGATGTTACCAACTTGTGACAGCAAGCTGCTGGCAAAGTAGCAGGGACCATTTGAGGTTCTGAAACGATTGGGGACTACCACTTACAAGATCTCTACTCCAGGTCTGCAGCGGGGAAGTAGAGTTCTTCACGTCAACTTGTTGAAGGAGTGGGTTCCACAGGCAGTTGGCAATACGGAAACGCTGCTGATCCGACATGTGGTGGAAGAGGAGGATGTGGCTGAATATCTGCCTTCAACTGCATCTTCAGCCCTGGACTTGGGTCACCTCACTAAAGAGCAGCAGTCCCAGGTAAAGCCTCTGCTTAACCCAGAAATATTCAATGAGTGCCCAGGTCGAACGGCGCTGGTTAAACACAACATTGTATTAAGATCTGATGCAAATGTGAGGCGCATGAGTTACAGAATACCAGAGCAGTACCTGATTGACCTGAAGAAGGAGGTGGACTCAATGCTGGCTCTTGGGATCATTCAACGTTCAACAAGTGAGTGGTGTAACCCTGTAGTCCTAGTTCCTAAAAAGGATGGAACGATTCGCTTCTGTATCGACTTCAGGTATCTAAATTCTGTTTCAAGATTTGATTCGTACCCAATGCCACGGATTGATGAGCTCACTGACAGTCTGGGGAAAGCCATATGGCTGACCACCATTGATCTCTCAAAGGGGTACTGGCAGGTTCCCCTCACCAGCCAGTCTCAGGAGCTAACAGTTTTCCGCACCCCTTGGGGCTTGTTCGAGTTCACTGTTTTACCATTTGGCCTCCATGGGGCCCCGGCTACATTCCAGAGGCTAATGGACCAGGTTCTATGTGACCTGAGAGGGTTTGCATGTGCATATTTGGATGACATTGTCATTTTCAGTGACACATGGGAGGAGCATATGGCACATCTTGAGGAAGTTCTGAAGCGTTTACAGGCTGCTGGTCTGACAATCAACCCCGCGAAGTGTGCTGTGGCCAGGAGGTAGATTCAATACCTTGGGTTCACCATTGGAGGTGGGATTATTAAGCCCCAGGTTGATAAAGTTCATGCAATCGAAACATGTCCTGTTCCACAGACTAGGAAGCAGTTGCGGTCGTTCCTTGGGATGGCCTCATTTTACCACCGATTCGTCCCCAACTTTTCTGCAAGGGCAGCGCCATTGACCGATAGGACGGGCTCATGTAGCCCCAACAAAATCCGGTGGACTGCGGAGGCCCTGGCAGCTTTTCAAGACATTAAGCATTCCTTGAGTGTGGAACCAGTCTTGTACTCTCCAGACTTTCAAAGAGACTTCATTCTGCGGACTGATGCTTCTGAGAGTGGTTTGGGGGCGGTCCTTCTACAAGGGACATTAGAGGAGCTGCATCCCGTGGCTTACATCAGTCGCAAGCTGTTGGCCCGAGAGAGATGCTATGCAACAGTGGAAAAAGAGGCATTGGCCATAAAGTGGTCTCTGGATTCCTTTAAGTACTATCTGCTGGGGAGAGAATTCACTCTGCAAACGGATCATAAGGCTCTCGAATGGCTTAACAGGATGAAGGATACTAATGGGCGCATAACCCGATGGTATCTTGCCATGCAACCATTCAGATTCAAGGTTCAACATATCCCTGGCAGAGACAATACCACAGCCGACTACCTCTCACGCTGTGAGGACAACTGAGTGGGGGGGAATGTGATGGCCACATCCATGTCCACACAACGGTGAACGTTAAGTACACTCTTGCACTTTTATGATTGCAGTTTGTTTGTTTATATTTCTTTGGCTTTATTGTTTAGATGGCTTAAATGCATTAGTTCTAATTGTAAGCGCGCACATTTAGTTAACTGCTGTATTTTATGCCTTTCATTTGTTCAATTTAAGTTGATTTGTTTTCTCTTACCGGTGCTGGGGTTCTCCACTTCCTGCTTCCTGAGATGGGACAGGCAAACAGGGTTGAAGGGGTTCTGTCAGCTAAATACAGGAGGAGCTGATGGGACCAAACCAATAGCTCCCTGAAGAGGGGACTGAAGAATTTCCTTCGTCTTCGTCTTCGTCTTCCTCCGCTTATCCGGGTCCGGGTCGCGGGGGCAGCATCCCAATTAGGGAGCTCCAGGCCGTCCTCTCCCCGGCCTTGTCCACCAGCTCCTCCGGCAGGACCCCAAGGCGTTCCCGGACCATATTGGAGATGTAACCTCTCCAACGTGTCCTGGGTCGACCCGGGGACCTTCTGCCGGCAGGACATGCCCGAAACACCTCCCCGGGGAGGCGTCCAGGAGGCATCCTGACCAGATGCCCAAACCACCTCAACTGGCTCCTTTCGATCTGGAGGAGCAGCGGTTCTACTCCGAGTCCCTCCCGAATGTCCGAGCTCCTCACCCTATCTCTAAGGCTGAGCCCGGCCACCCTACGGAGGAAACTCATTTCGGCCGCTTGTATCCGCGATCTCGTTCTTTCGGTCATTACCCAAAGCTCATGACCATAGGTGAGGATTGGGACGTAGATCGACCGGTAAATGGAGAGCCTGGCTTTCTGGCTCAGCTCCCTCTTCCCCACGACAGATCGGCTCAGCGTCCGCATCACTGCAGACGCCGAACCAATCCGCCTGTCGATCTCCCGATCCCTCCTACCCTCACTCGTGAACAAGACCCCGAGATACTTAAACTCCTCCACTTGAGGTAGGACCTCTCCCCCGACCCGGAGGTGGCAAGCCACCCTTTTCCGGTCGAGAACCATGGTCTCAGATTTGGAGGTGCTGATCCTCATCCCAGCCGCTTCACATTCGGCCGCGAACCTACCCAGCAAGAGCTGAAGGTCAGAGCTGGATGAAGCTAGGAGGACCACATCATCCGCAAAAAGCAGAGACGAGATTCTCCTGCCACCAAACTCGACACACTCCACACCACGGCTGCGTCTAGAAATTCTGTCCATAAAAGTGATGAACAGAACCGGTGACAAAGGGCAGCCCTGGCGGAGTCCAACCCTCACTGGGAACAGGTCCGACTTACTACCGGCTATGCGGACCAAACTCACGCTCCTCTGGTAAAGGGACTGAATGGCCCTTAACAGAAAGCCACCCACCCCATACTCCTAGAGCGTCCCCCACAGGGTGCCCCTGGGGACACGGTCATAAGCCTTCTCCAAATCCACAAAGCACATGTGGATTGGTTGGGCAAACTCCCATGTCCCCTCCATCACCCTTGCAAGGGTATAGAGCTGGTCCACAGTTCCACGGCCAGGACGAAAACCACATTGCTCCTCCTCTATCTGAGATTCAACTATCGATCGGACCCTCCTCTCCAGTACCTTGGCGTAGACCTTTCCAGGGAGGCTGAGGAGTGTGATCCCCCTATAGTTGGAACACACCCTCAGGTCACCCTTCTTAAAGATGGGGACCACCACCCCGGTCTGCCACTCCCTAGGAACTGCCCCCGAT